ATCATATTTTATTAGTTTTGCAGTATAGTAAGTCAGTGTAAAACATACTTCAAAATTAATAATTGCATCAATGAGTATATTGCAGAGGTAAAGATACTAGTACAGGAGATTTATACCACTAAATGTTTTTATTAATGGGGCAGGCAATTTCCTTAATTTAACCTATAATGCACTCACAAAGCACTTAACTCTCTTAATGAACATATTTCCCATACTCTAGGGAATTTTGAAAACTTCTCAATTCAATTATTAAAGTGCTTAGTGATATTCAATCAAACTTTCTTGTTCCTTATTCCAAAGGAAAATGATGAATTAGAGCAAACAAGAAATGCAAGATGGGGAATAATTAATTCGTACCCAATTGAAAGTGTTTATATGTACATCAAAGCAATGAAATAGCTGTTTTTTGTTTTGTTTTCATAACAATGCAAAATATTCCAAGAATCAAGCAAATTTATGCAAAAACACAGTAAATATGACTGGAAAAGACTGAGTAGTTGAAGAGTCAACTAACAAATGAATAAAATATTTCAATATTTCAGGCAAACTCTTTTATTTTAATCAAAAAGGCTATGCCTTAGTGACAGCCAGGAATGAAAATTATCTCCATATATCACACAAATGTTTAAATTTCATATCAAACAAACAATACAACATTATTTTTGTAGGGAAACACCTGTGATTAAGTTTACCATATATTGTTAAAAATCATTTATCTGTTGGAATATGAATATAAGCTGAAAATGAAAAGGTAGTTTGCTGTGTTCCTAGATTACCTATTAATAGTTCAAAGAATTTAGAATCTTTTCAGCCATAGCCAAATACTTTTAACAAGTAATATGGTTTAACTCAGCAGAAAACAATTTCTTTGAATTATGCCAAAAAATAATAAACATGTCACATTTTTCTCAATCGCATGATGCAAGAAAAATGCTGGCAATGATGTTGTGGCAACAACAAAGGTCTTTATGTAAGAGGAAACAGATTGCTTTGTCTCAGCTTGTATGCCTATGTCGAACAGACAGCTTTCCATGGTAAAGCAAATTTGGTCCATAGATAGTTTGGTTTCTAGAATCTGGAAGAGTGTGTGTGTGTGTGTGTGTGTGTGTGTGTGTGTGTGTATGTGTGTGTACACATACGTGTATATGGTATGGTACCATATATCATATATATGGTACCCACATATGGGTATATGTAGTGTATGTATGAGGCATACATATGTATGTATATATGCCTCATACATACACTACATATACCCATATACATATATTTTATGTATATATATACATATGTATGCCTCATACATACACCACATATACCCTCTATTATGTTTACTGTCTTGCTGTTCTCTTAATGTCTTATGAAAACCATAATTGGATAGGGAAATAACCGTGCAGCCTTGGGTATGTCCATCCAGTATAGCAACACCAAAATTTCCTGCTCAATAATCTTCTTGATCCATCTCAAGCTCTTTGGAACTGTAATATCATTAGTAAGGCAATAATATTGTTATCACTCCTACAGGTTTAGGATAAATTCCTTGAGCTGAATTAATTTTCCTTTATTTTCCCTGCTCTTGATTTCTTGAAGATCTGTGTGACCTTAGACCAGCTTGTTTTCCACACAGACTTGTTAATGCTGTTGAAAGAAATGTGTCTTCCAAACATGCTCAAGGATGTTTAGAAACTTCCTATGAGTACTTTACTTATTTTCAACATTTCTGGTTTCTTATCTAAAATGTTCTATTTAGATGGCAGATTATTGAATCTGATAACCAGTAAATATAATAACCAATAACTAAACTCAGTGTTAGGTTTGTTTTTTTTAACGTTTATTTATTTTTGAGACAGAGACAGAGCATGAATGGGGGAGGGTCAGAGAGAGAGGGAGACACAGAATCTGAAACAGGCTCCAGGCTCCGAGCTGTCAGCACAGAGCCGATGAGGGGCTTGAACTCAACGGACCACAAGATCACGACCTGAGCCTAAGTCAGACGCTTAACCGACTGAGCCACCCAGGCGCCCGTGTGTTAGTTTTAAACTTACTTTTATTAGGCCAAAACACACAAAAGTGCTATATTTAGAGTAAAAAAAGTTTAACAATAGTCATTTTATATTTCAACATAACGTTTCCTTCTTTACCATGAAAGACACAAAATAACAGTCAAAGGCTTGGTCAGAGTAAAACAGATAAGACTTCAAATTATAACCCAGGCATTTATGAGCTGTTTGATTATGGATAATTATTTGTTCTTTGTTCTGCCTCAGTTTCTTCATCCGAACATTAGGGATATCAGCAGTCTATGCTGCATTGAATCCTAGTGAATATTAAAGGAACTAAGGTACACAGATATTGTTATAGAGTGAGTGTTCAGAAAATATTAGACTGATTATTAACATTGAATTTAATAAATAGTTTTATTATCTTTCCTAGTCTTTTATTATTCCTCCTGAATTTCCTGGTGAGTGCTCCTGGTTTACATGAACTGCTCTTGCAGTCCTGGCCATAACATTTTAACATAACATCTCATTTGGTTACTATGAGCATTATGAGGTTTATGGGGTAGGAATTGTTATTCCCCTTTTCCAAATGAGGAAACCGTGTTATGTTACCTTTTCAAAGACTGCACAGAAAGTAAAAGGCAAATCCAGAATTAGAATTCTATTTTTTTTTTACCATACTCGCTTTTTTTTTTTTCAACTTTTATTTATTTTTGGGACAGAGAGAGACAGAGCATGAACGGGGGAGGGGCAGAGAGAGAGGGAGACACAGAATCGGAAACAGGCTCCAGGCTCTGAGCCATCAGCCCAGAGCCTGACGCGGGACTCGAACCCACGGACCGCGAGATCGTGACCTGGCTGAAGTCGGACGCTTAACCGACTGCGCCACCCAGGCGCCCCCATACTCGCTTTTATAAGGTCATTTTAAATGGACATTCCTGGGCAGCAGATAGTTTAACACTGATGGCATTGGTTGACATGATCATTTTGAAGAGGTCTCCATCTCATTTGTTATAAACGTCTGGAATAGCAGGCACTTATGTAGCAATAATATGTACCCATACTATATAATATATGTATAAACGATGTAATTCTACCATATACATAACAACTCAGTGAGACTGGCACTTTTATTATCCCTCCTTTACAAGTAAGAACACTGAGCGCCAGTGAGCAGTGAAACCAGGATTTGAAAGGGGGCAGTTTGCCTCCAGGGCTAACCAGTATGTCATATTAACTTTTAGACAATAAATTATACTGCAAAATGACTGCCTTTAAAATTTTCATTGCTGCTCAAGCAGTAAATTTCAAACATGTCACATTGTTTCTAACAAAACAAAACCCCCAAGCCCAAAGCTTTGCTCGTTGAAATTTTATACGCTCAATAGAAATGATTTTCTAGATTTGTACTCTCACAGGCAAGACTGCTACATTAATTTGCAGAACTGGGTGCAGAATGAAAATATAGGGCCTCTTGTTAAAAAGTTAGTAAAAATTCAGTTGGGATGTAACAGTAGAACATTATGACAAGTGTGTGGTCCTTTACAGCATAAGGTCCTATGTCGCTAAAAGGTAGCACACCCATGACATGAGCCCTGTTCACAGAGCACATAACTCTGACTCTGGCCTTGATTCTGTTCAGTTACCTCCTGTAGATCTGAATAAAGACTCATAACATGAAAAGAATGGAAGTAATGGAGACCTTTTATTAAATCCGCCCCATAATGACTCCAGCTTCTCCATTTTAAGCATCCTGAGGCAATGGGACCTTTGATGAAGAAGGACATGGAAGGGAAGTAAGACTACCAGGCCACAGATCTGATCACTCCTTCTACAAGAAAGCAGAAGTATAGACCGTTTTTCATGTTAGCAGTCCAGAGTCAGGATGTGGGGAGAAGAAAGAGGAAGTTCTGGTGAATTTATACCACCCCACAAAGAGGGAATAGCACTTGTCTCTCACCAGAATGGTGCAGAAGCCTGTGAGATATATCCATGTGTCCATGGTTGTTTGGAGGGAAGTCATGTTAGTTTATGTTTAAAATTAATAAGCCTGGACCTGGTCATCCAAACGCTTTGGTTTTTGCCCTTTTAAAATTATAGACAAAAATGATGTTTTCAGTCTTTTTTCCTTTTATATGTAGAAAAGAGCTGCATTTTTGAAAAATAGCTCTCATTAATTCTTGAACTTTGAGTCAATCTGTGGTGTACATTAAAGTTATTGTCATTCAATCTTGTAGGCAATCAAGAATCAGAGCTGGTGATTTTAAAATCAAAATACATAGGTTTAGACTCAGGTTGCTTTACGTACAGATTCTGTGATCTTGGGAAAGTTGATTGACCTCTCTGAGCTTCTGTTTTTTCATCCATAATACGGAAAATTTTTAAAAACAAGAGAGAAAAACCTCAGGGTTTTTGTAAACATCCATTACATAAAGGTACTTAGTGCAATACCAGGAATATCATAAGAACCCAGCAAATTATGGAGACATTATTTGAAATAAATACACATGCATTTGACATATAAATATACTTATATTTCATGCATATATATACTCTTAAGTATGTTATATATGTGTATATGTATATATGTACACATATTTTATATATATATATATATATATATATATATATTAAGTTTCTAAGTTTTGGGCTCTCATATATTGGAGAAGGGGAAATTCTTGGCTAGAAGAACTGACTCTAATAGAATTTCTTTTGGAGCTTCTGCCTGTCACTGCTAACTCAACATTCAACTTTATCACGGTCAAATGAAATTACTACTGCTTGTAAAATACGGACTTTCTCAGCATAAACCTTATGCTTCAGATCAAGCAGAATGAGTGTTTATTTGAATATAAATGTAATACAATCCTCAGAAAAAGCCAGGTGTGCTTCCTGTCCGAAGTTGTGGAAGTGTGCTTTCAGGTGCTATGCTAAGCATTGATTAGAATATATGAAATGCCACGTATTGAGGTTATCTTAGGTAGACACCACCTCTCTCCCTAATACCTAGCCATCTGATGTGTGTGTGTGTGTGTGTGTGTGTGTGTATGTTTAATGTGTCTCTTGATTTTAATCACAGAAAATAAAATGGGAAATCCCTGAAACTCTAGTGTCCCTTTTGCCGGAACACTGACAAAGCATATACCCAAATTTGCTTTCAAAACTTCAGTTTTATACCTCCCTCAAAATTGTTGATAATAGCTGTTTAGTTATATGCCCAACATAGAATTCATCAAAAATTGTCAATTTGAAAAATAAAGAAAAAGCATAAAAAAGCAGAAGCAATTGTATATCCAATATAAACTATACTAACTTTCAATATGCAAGTAAACGTGAAAATGACCAATGCTTCTCTGTTGTTTTGACAGTGAATAAGATGATTTCAACAGTAGTCTTTTCAAAATCTGTTTGTGACATGAGTAATTCGTTTTGTGTTTCAACTTCACAGGAATTTCCCCTTGAACTGGACTTGGGAGTTCAACTGAATAAATTATTTCTGGGCTTTTGAATTATTAATCTTGTCTGCATGGTATGCAAATTAGGCTTCACTATGTCCATCGGCACAGTCTTGGGTTAGAAGCTGTATCAGGTTGCAGGCAAAGACTTTCCGTCAAGGGATCAGGGCCTTCCAACAGAATGGTAAGTTATAATGCAACTCATGTCACCCAGGTGTACAAAGTAATGCCAGACTTCCCTCAGGGGTTTCTTTTTAAATGGCCTATAAGCAGTTAAGGTTTTAAATAATGTTTAGATGAACTGTCTGAACTGTCATTCATAACATGAAGAACAATAAAGGAAACTAAAAGGAAGTCATAATTTTTTCTCCGACATTTATTTTTCACTAAATTGAATGTCTTTTTTTAATTGCCAAACACTAAATTTATTTAAAGAGGTTTATTACATTTGCTAATGTCTTGGTAACGTATTTCAACAAAAAAGAGTAATCAGATTTGCTTAAATGTAACTGCTTACAGAAAAAATGTAAAGTTTCTAAATTGTATGACAAAATCAACCACATGTAATATTTCACGTTTAGAAAATAATATGTTAGAGGGAATCTTAAGTTATTCTAAAGATTAAATTTAGCATTCATGTTAAAATTACAATTACGGTTGCAAAAGTTACAATTTTTCAAGAAAGTAATTCACTAAGGAAAAATGACAAATTGCAGAAGCCATTGCTATTTTACCTTCCAGAACTTTTTATAATTGGTGAGTTTTTTTTAATTCATAAACATAATTTGGTACTTTACTTTTTAATACCTTGACTTATAGTATAAATTCTGGAATATACAAAAAAAGAAGTTATCAATATTAAGTGATTGTATCTTTTCAGTGTGAATATATATTTTTTCATTCAAGTTGTTTATTACTGAAAACAGCAATTTGTTAAAAAAGACTCATACTGCCATGTAAATTTGCCTTAAAGAAGCAGTTAAGGTTTAAAATGCATAAGTAATCTTTGTTTAATTATAATGATTGTAAAAAACAATTTAAATGCTAATAAGCTGTCAAATATATTTTTAAATTTAAGCTTCAATAGTGTACATTTTTAAAAGACTGAATACAATTAAGGTGAAAGAAACATTAATCCAAATTAAAAATGAGTACTACTTATCTGCTTATGTGTGTATTGACTATTGCTTGTAATTTAATAATTCTAACAGGTTTAGATATATATTTGGATATATAATTAAAGATTTCACTTCAATCACCAATAGCTAAAATAAATAAATAATTCACCCACAACAGTTAAAACCTATTTATCATGATTTCTATTTCCTAAAAATTAAAAACACAACCACGAGAAAGTGGAACAGAGAATATTAATTTTTCATGAAGGAATATCCCTTCAACTGAGAATTTTCCTTAAAGGATCAGCTTACTTCATCAATTTGTAGAATTATAATGGCCACACTAAAACACATTAGACTATAAACATCATCTAATTTGGACTCTAGCACCCAGAAAATTATGGGTCTCAATGAGACTTAAACTGGCCTGCAAATAAAAGACAGCCTGACCTTCATGAACCACCATTTATTAAGGACTTAAGAAAATTACTTTAAGAATGAAAAAAGTACCAAAAAGCAGATTATAAAATATCATAAAGAGGATAATCTCATTTCTATAAAAAATATATTCAAATAAATATTAAACTGTAAACAGGTATCCAGATATGAGGACTAGTTGGTTTACAGACAATTAATTTTCATTCCTTCTCTTTGCCTACCTGTACCTTCTTAGTGTTACAGAATAACATTCATTTTTCAAAGTTATTTTTAAAATAAAACTAAAAATATAAAGCAACTGCTCTGAGAAGCAAGACAAAGGTGACTAGTCACTCAGTTTCCTTATTCCAGTTCTGATGTGCTGTATCCCTGCTACTTCCCTGAATCTCCATTCCCATGGGACAGCTTGAAGCAGAAGAAACCTTCTCCACGGCGTCAGCACGGCCCCTGACTTGCCCCAGTGCTAGTTATTGGGAATCGGGCACATGCAGTAATGCACGTCTTCATGGCTGTCTCTTTCTGCAATAGCAGTCAAACCTTCCTGCGGCACAGAAGCTACTGACGTCAGCCCATGCATTTTAAGAACTGAGTAGTCAGAAAAATAAGAGAGAGGACTAGAAAAAGAACTAGAAAAAGTGGAAATTCAAAGTGGAACAACTGAGTCTTAAGGAAACTTTCTATTGTCTTACTATACTTTTGAGTGTGTGCACCTGCTTTTTTGAGCACTCCCCAATAACGAAGTTGCCCAGATCTGAGCTCTGAGGAGCTCCAACATTTGAAGCTTGGGCAAATAGTCCACAAAGAGAGAAAGGAGGATAGTGAGAAGACTGCCATGTCATAGAAAGCAGGGAAGAATGTACTTCCAGAAGTCATGGAGCTGAAAGCATCAGGGAATAGAGTTAAAAATAATAGTGGCAAATTGCCACTGACCTATAAAATAAAGCCTATATATATATCTTTAAAAGACCATTAATTTTGTTGCTGTATTTCTAGAAATCCTAATAATATAAAATACATGTTGATTTGGGGAAACAAATAGAAAGTCCAGATAAACTGACTCTATTATATACTATATATATACTATATATATATATATATATACTATATACTATACATATACTATATATATTACATTATATATATACTATATATACTAAATATTACATTAATAATATATATAGTATAATTATATATATTAATATATATAGTATAATTAATTATATATATACTCTATATATTACATTAATAATTATCTGGTATTGGGATACCTGAGTGGCTCAGTCAGTTAAGCACCAGACTTTGGCTCAGGTCATGATCTCATGGTTCATGTGTCTGAGCCCCAAATTGGACTCTGCTGTCAACATGGGGCTTGCTTTGGATTCTGTCTCCCTCTCTCTGCCCCTCCCCTTCTCTCTCTCTCTCTCAAAAATAAATCAACATTAAAAAGTTATCTGGTATCTCATCCCTAGGGATAGAACTCTTAATACTTTGGTACATTTCCTAGACTTTCTGATGTTTATTAATGTCAGAGGTAAATTCATAATTTTTAAATTGACCTTAATTTAAAAAATTGATTCTGGAAGATATATATGAAATCTTACCTTCCACAAATGTGTGTCTAAACAAAGCAACCTAACTACCACAATTGCCTGTTTTAAATATTTGTCATTTTACGTGTAGTGTTAACTTAAAAAATTTTTTAACATTTGTTTATTTTTCAGAAACAGAGCACAAGCGGGGGAGGGGCAGAGAGAGAGGGAGACACAGAATCTGAAGCAGGCTCCAGGCTCTGAGCTGTCAGCACAGAGTCCGACACGGGGCTCGAACTCAGGAACTGTGAGATCATGACCTGAGCTAATGTCGGATGCTTAACCGACTGAGCCACCCAGGCACCCCACGTGTAGTGTCAACTTTTAGAGTGAAATAGAGCAATGGGCTTAATTTGCTGGATTTACTGCTTCTCTGACCTTAGACGAAATATTTGTAAAAAATGTTTTTTTTAAACTATCAAATGTTTATCTTCATTTCCACGCAGCAAGCATTTACATACCATCTCCCTATCTGGCAGTCACTATGCCAGAGGTAGAAGATAAACTCTGAGTGTGATCAAGTTGTGAGAAATTTGAAGAAACTTCGTTTATAATGAGAACATAGAATGGGGGGCTGAAGTTAAGATGGGTGGGTCAGACAGCCTCTCTTGGGAAATCCACACTTGAACTGAAGTCTGAAAGGACGTGCAGATAGAAGGCAGTGTTTGTGATGGGGCAAGGTCACAGGGGGAAAAGGTCAGTGAGATGGGTTTCAGTGAACTGAGCATTGGGAAGTTCTCTGTGCAATCAAAGAACAGGAAGAAGATAAGTAAGGAGGGGGGTCAGGCGAGGTGAGGCTGAAGTGGCCTACAGGAGCCAGGTCATGCATGTCGTTACAGATTTGGAATTTATTTCCTAGACAGAGAAAAGTCACTTAAGTCTTTTGGCTGAGGAGAATCAGAATTATGGTTGTAGTTTTCAAGATTGTCATGCTTTCAAGCCAAAGGTAGGTTGAAAGGGAGCCAGAGAGGATGTGAGGAGACCCTAGAAGATACAGTACAGGCCAAGATAAAGATGATGGTGACCTGGACTAGAATGGTGATGAAGGAGATGGAGCAATGGTAATGGAGTCAAGAAATAATCCAAACACTATAGGCAAGACTTGGTAGCTTACTTGTTATTGGAGACAAGCTACAGACGACTTCAAGGATGTTGCTTAGATATCCTACAGGCTCTCAGCAAGTAGTGGCCACCGTTACTATTATTACTAAGAATGGAAGCACCATATTTTAATTTTTTAAATCATGTTTTAAAACTGGAATTATATTTTACAAACTGAGTGAAATAACCACAATTCTTTGACAATATGGAAACACAGTAAAATCTATTAAAATAGTAGGACCGGAGTTATAAGAATCCCTGTTTCCTCTCCTAGGTTGTGGTTCAATTGTATTTAACTTAGCAGAATTGGGCGAACAACTGTGATATGCTGGGGACCATGGGAGGTGCTGGAAGCAGAAAAATGAACTAGATGCTCCTCTTATTTCACTGCACCATTTCTTGGCCTCTTTGCTATTTGTCAAGTCCTCTACGTGTGTTTTCACCTCTGGGCATTTGCACATGCTTCCCCTTATGTCTGGGATATTTTTTACCATTATAAGACATGCATTTTTTTGCATCCTGGTTCTTCCCAAGAGAGTATAAATTGTATGAGATTAGGAACTGTGTTTGACTCACTGCTGTTATCCCCTGTGCCTAGCGCATAGTTCAAAGGCACTTAATAAATATTTGTTAAAATAATATATTAATGATATATCTGTATATGAATGTGTATGTATGTGCACTCCTTACTAACCTTTCATAGTTCAAGTTTTAAGTGTTTTTTTAAATTATTACTACTTATGTGCAGTTTTGTCATTAGGCATAAGCTGGTGTTTCAACCTTCTCTTTTCTCTCTCTTCCTTAGGCATGGAATGAAACTTGCCAAAATTGGCTGGCAGCAGAGATTTCCCTGGAAAAGTACTACCTTTCCATTTTTTATGGGATCGAGTTTGTTGTGGGAGTCCTGGCAAATACAACTGTTGTGTTTGGCTACCTCTTCTGTCTGAAGAACTGGAATAGCAGTAACATTTATCTCTTTAACCTCTCTATCTCAGACTTGGCTTTTTTGTGCACCCTCCCCATGCTGATAAGAAGTTATTCTCAAGGAAAGTGGACATATGGGGATGTGCTCTGCATAAGCAACCGATATGTGCTTCATGCCAACCTCTACACGAGCATCCTTTTTCTGACTTTTATCAGCGTTGATCGATACCTGCTCATGAAGCATCCTTTCCGAGAACACTTTCTGCAAAAGAAAGAGTTCGCTGTTTTAATCTCTTTGGGTATTTGGGTTTTAGTAACCCTAGAGCTCCTGCCCATACTTTCTCTTATACATCCAAATATAGCTGTCAATGGCACCAACTGTATTGATTATGCAAGCTCTGGGGACCCCAAATACAACCTCGTTTATAGCATGTGTCTAACCTTCTTGGGATTCCTCATTCCTCTTTTGGTGATGTGCTTCTTTTATTTCAAGATTGCTCTGTTCTTAAAGCAGAGGAGCATACAGCTTGCTACTGCTTTGCCCCTTGAAAAGCCCCTCACGTTAGTCATCATGGCAGTTGTGATCTTCTCCGTGCTTTTTACTCCCTACCACATCATGCGGAATGTGAGGATTGCTTCACGCCTGGGAAAGTGGAAGCAGTCCCGCTGTGCTCAGGCCACCATCAACTCCTTATACATTGTGACTCGGCCTTTGGCCTTTCTGAACAGCACCGTCAACCCTGTCTTCTACTTCCTCATGGGAGATCACTTCAGGGAGATGTTGATGAGCAAGCTGAGGCACCAATTCAAATCCCTGACATCCTTTAGAAGATGAAGTCATGGACTGATGTTTCCATTCAGGGAAAAGTGAGATGCTTGTGTAACACACAGTTTTGCATGTGCAGATGTAGGCCAATTAGAATTTGATTTAACTCATAGACGTAAATCAGAGAAGCAAAGACTTGACACTCTTTTAAAGACATGCTGTGCCCGGAGTCTGTGAAAAGAAGAGGATGGGAAGTATTTATTGGTTTCTTCACCTAAGAATTGAAAGGAACTGGACTGGCATTGTCTAGTGCTTGAGCATATAAATCCAAAACCCTAGATGTTATAAGACTTTCTCAACCAGTGTAAAAGAAATAGAAGGTAGATAAAGCAGCAAGTAGTCTGCATTTAATCATCACCAGATTGTGAAAAAAAAAATATGTTGGCAACATTCTCTACGTTATTCTTATTCATTTGATCTTATACCTTAATGTGAAACCTGAATAACAGATTAAGCAGACACTATTAGAGATTATTGTTAGAAATTGTGGTGTTGAACAAAATTTAAAGTCAACCATAGCAACAAGCAAGAAAGCAATGTAATGAGTTCAAGGATGTCTCTATGTATTTCTTTGTATTGATCATGAGTTGGAGTCAAGTTGTAATTATAAGTCCTATTTTGTTTCATGGTTTTTAGTGCAAAGAATCGAATTAAATGGAGCCTAAAGATATGGTTCAACAAAAAGAGAGACATGTTTGAGCTTGTCTCTCAGGGAATTTAGGTATAAATGATTTTACCAAAGTACACAAAGAGAGAGAAGAAGATTTGCAAAAATCTCAGAGCTATGGAACACAAAGTGTCCATCAGAAAACCCAAAGCATGACAAAACAAAGCAAACAAAGCAAAACAAAACAAAGGTAAATACTTTTGGATGACTGTATCTTAAAGACAGCGACTTACATATGGGATGAGCCTTGTTTTCATGTTCATAGAACATCACATAAGACCACTGAAGGAAGTGTTCTAAACAAAGTGCACTTTCAAAGCATAAGAGACTGTTGAGAACTGAGAACAAACTAAGGGTTGATGGGGGGTGGGAGGGAGGAGAGGGTGGGTGATGGGTATTGAGGAGGGCACCTTTTGGGATGAGCACTGGGTGTTGTATGGAAACAAATTTGACAATAAATTTCATATATAAATTTAAAAAATGTAAAAAAAATAAAAAAAAATAAACAAAGTGCACTTTATGAAATTGTAAAATGTAAGAAATATTTATGTGCATATTCATATAGATTATCCAGGCATCCCTCTATGCCACAAAACAATTATAGGAAAAACTAAATGGATGCTACGTTAGCTTTTTAAAATCAAATAAGTATCACATAACAATTCACTTACATGTAACAAAATGTGTCCATGGCCACATGTCTATGCTCATTTCCTTAAAGTCATTAGCTGTATTTATGCTAAGTAAAATAAGTCAGTCAGACAAAGACAGATATCATATGTTTTCACTCATGTGTGGAATTTGAGAAACTTAACAGTAGACCCTGGGGGAAGAGAAGGGGAAAAAATAGTTTCAAATAGAGAGAGAGGTAAACCATGAGAGACTCTTAAATACACAGAACAAACTGAGGGGTGATGGGAAGGGGGGCAGAAATGGGTGATGGGCATTGAGAAGGACACTTGTTGGGATGAGCACTGGGTGTTGTTGTATGTAAACAATGAATCATAGGACTCTACTCCTGAAGCCAAGAGCACACTGTATACACTGTATGTTAGCTAACTTGACAATAAGTTATATTTAAAAAAACGATTAGTTGTAACATGAAGGATAAAATAGGTGTTATGAGTACAAAGACAAAATTCTATTGCCCTTTCTGTCCTATACTCTGGTGATATATTCTGACAGTACAAAAACCCAAAATATCCCCAGTTAGTGCTTACATAATTCAAACAAATGAGATATTATAAAAATGCATTACTCACAAAGGATTTATTTTCTTACTTATTATTAGGCTTTAAGATATTTTTTTCATGCCTTGCCTTTGTGGTCAATATTTTTGAAATTTTAGTGTGATTTTATACCTGCCTGATAATAAACTGAAAACATAATCTCCTGAATATCCTCATCAGAAAAGGCCACAAAAGAGCCTTAGGAAAGAAGTGTTTACTTATTTCTGCAAACTTAGAAACATCTAACGTAATTTTAATTTGCTTTTTATGCATGGGTTTTAATTTGCAAAATTGGAAATAAATTTTCCCTACCCTTACCCAAGAGATAGGGACTCTTTTAATTAGGGCAGTGAAATATTTTATAGAACCACAAACTCTTAGGTATATCTTGTAACCAAAATGTTAAGTAATTTCATAGCATAATTCTTAATTCTTTTCTTGCCAAGTCTGTCACCTGGTAGCTTTATCCTCAGCAGACAAGAGACCTGCACTAAAACTATAAGAGCTATTCCATTTACTTTTTGTACTAGGTGATTGTAAGAATTATAAACAAAGAATAATGGAAATTCTTTCTGGGTTTGTAGTTTTCAAAGGAAATGATGTTGGGCTTTGGTATCTTGTCTTTTGATTGGTTCCTTATTGTTTTTAGAATCCTGTCTAAGCTATTTGGTCCAGCATTTCACTATCTGGGCCCACCAATATTATCATATGTTATCTCCCACTGCCAGTTTCACAAACTATACTCTCCAGCCAAAGATGGTTACCTCACTTCTATATGCAGAACTTTCTTCACTGTGCACAGCTGGATGCTCACCCCTGTCCCATCATGCCCAAGTACAAAAAATTTTATGCATTTTTTAAGGCCCATGTCATCTGTCACTCCTTCTGAAAGCCTTCCTTTAGGTCGTCTCCTCCGCAGATCTGGAAATAAATGAATTATTTTTGCACTTATAACATAGTTGTTTAGATTCAAGTGAACTGTAAGGTCTGTGACTAGAAGAACCACATCTAATTTTTTATTGCCCTTCTAGAACTTAGCAAGGTATATTTTATATGGTTGTTTATTATGAATCAATGTCCTTAAAATTGAATTCAATGCTCGTTTTTAGTGTACATGATTGGACTACTTTCTGTCATCACTGCTTTTATAAGTACTGCTGTCTTATATAAAGAATAGAGTGTATATATACAAACACATGCACCAGGTGCCATTGCCACATCCCTTATATTTTCCTCCATACCTTTGAACATAGTTCTAATTGATGCTGAAAATCTGTGTCTGCTAGTTCACAAGGTGGGTCATATCAACATTTATGCTCATTGATTGCATTTTATCTTAAGTATGGGCCACAAATTCCTGCTTTTTCAGATCTAATAAATTTGGATTATGTTCTGGACATTTTGAATAATATATTGTGGAGTCTCTGGATTCTATTATGTTCCATGGAAAAGTACAAATATTTTGTTTCATGGCTGAACTCAAACTCCAAGCCCTGCAATCTCATTTCACTTATTTTAGCCTTAACTGAGCTGTTTAGAGTCTTTCCAGCACATCCATAGTTCAGGGGTCAGCTAGAGACTTGAATAGAATTTATATACCAGATGTGCAGTTCCCTGTCTGTAACTCTTTCTTCTCCAGGGCTCTTCCCCCTTCACTTTCCAGTTGCTGAGTTTACTCTGGACTCATTCTTTGCTTTCTCATGCCAGATAGACTGTAGGTTCATTTCTATATTTTAGCAAACCAGCCTGGCCTGATTACTTAAAAATGTAACTGTGAATGTCACTCAGTGCTTTTTACCTCTGCCAGGTATGGATCCCCCTCCTTGCTTTGTTTTGTTCAGTCTGTAGTATCTTTATGTAGTTGGTCGTTTATATATTCCCAGAGTTTAGAGATGCCCCTTGCAGGAAGTGTGGATCAATAGGAATTACTAGGCCATTACTAAAGCAGAAACTTTTTTCCATTAGAATTAATAAGCTTCACAGGATAATATAACTATATATCATAAGTGGTTTAAATTCCCACTCATAGCTTCTAAATATTCTTTTTTTTAATTTATTTAAAAATTTTTTTTCAACGTTTATTTATTTTTGGGACAGAGACAGAGCATGAACGGGGGAGGGGCAGAGAGAGAGAGGGAGACACAGAATCAGAAACAGGCTCCAGGCTCTGAGCCATCAGCCATCAGCCATCAGCCCAGAGCCTGACGCGGGGCTCGAACTCCCGGACCGCGAGATCGTGACCTGGTTGAAGTCGGATGCTTAACCGACTGCGCCACCCAGGCGCCCCGCTTCTAAATATTCTTAAGGGCTTATTTCATATTGACCATCATTTGACTCCAGCCTGTGCGTTTATTCATGCTTTCTCTATTTTCCCTTGCACCAGTTTTGGTTTTAAACCTAACCTCTGCAATAATTTTCAACAAAAAGTAATTTTAAAAAAACCAACAAAACCAATAATTTTTCTGAAAGCAAATAGCATCCCCTGCCCATTGTCCTGCCTTTTGCTAGTCTCCATACTTTCCTCATTCTGGGTCCCACTCCATACTTTATGAATGGTAATTTTGCCCCACTTAGAGATTTTGGTACCAAAAATATTTGAGTAGACCAGTGGTCTTAGCAAAGAACTCTTTAAAACAAATGTAAAATTGTTCCTAAAAGAAATTATTGTCTCAAGTTCAAATAGAATTGAAAAATTCAATTGTCAAAAGACAGTAAGTCTTTTATGCTAATAAACCTACTTCTAGTGTATAGCTCTTGGTCACTATATGGTAATCTATTGTATGGATATAGCTGTATTGCTTTAGTCAATACTTCATTGCTGACATTTAAGTTATTTATAATTTTTAGTTTTCAACTCAAGCTCATTTTGCAGCCCAGGCTTACCAGTAACAAATCAGGTGCTTTGATCTCTATTTGCTATGGATTCCTGTGAGAGTAATCTATTATTCAACCCTGGGTGGAAAAAAAATGAGATTGTTCATGACTGAGTCATCAAATCCCATCGTAAACCATCAACACAATAATAGTAATAACAAACACAGGTAGCACTTAAAATGTACCAGGCACAGTTGCTCTAGCACTTTATACATTTAATTCATTCAACTGTTGCCAAACCCTATGAAAGTTACAGATGAAGAAACCAAGGCACAGAGAGTTTAATGGTCACATAGCTAGTAAGTGGTAGGGTTGCACCTCAGAAACCATCTTTAGATTCTCTCTAAGGATGTTTAAGTTATAATTTATCACATGGTTTAGTCCCAGAGTCATCTTATAACATAGCTCTAAGGAAGACAACTCCAGGATGATGTGAGAATGAGTTCTAGAATAGGCTCTGGAGTCAGACATTTTATTTACACATGCAGAATATTGGACGCATATGAAATCTTGAATTTAACCATATGGTATGGAATTCACAGATAATATTTTCAGATGATACAATAAACTTAAGAATGTGTAACATGTCAGAATAGAAATTTCTGTACATAATGATCAGGTGTATAACATTTATAGGTAGCTGGCTTCTTTAGCAATGCAATGTGAAGTCCTATGGCCTAGAACCCTGTGATTATGTTTTAGTGAGATTCTCAGACAGAATCAATAAGTCATATCCATATTTTCTCTAAATTTTAATAATACGGACAATATTTTATTAGAAAATTTACTTTTTGATAACTTTATGTGAAAGTAATAATGTATACAAATACCAAATTTTCTGGGGCGCCTGGGTGGCGC